TATTGCTTCTCGCTCTGCTCCCAGTGCCTTGGAATTTTAATTGTGCTGTCCTGTGAGCATGACGTCATTGGGAGTCCAGAGGCTTCCTTAGCAGGGCTTGTCTTCACTTAGTTCCTCTCTGTAACCTGCGAGCCCTGCTTGGCTCTGGGAGTGCAGAGAGAGTGCACAGTCCCTGCTGCGCCACAGGCAGGACCCAGGACCCCAACCTGAAGGCTGAGAGCCGGGCAGCCCCTAGTGGTCGTTCACCAGAAGGACTCATGGGGCTCAGCACGAAGTCCTCATGGCTGACATTTACTGCAGTGATATGGGGGAGAAGCAGCCGAGTCTTCACAGAGACGGACTCAGGCTGGAGGAATCCACTCGCAGGCCTCCTCATGCTCTCTCCTTCACGAGTTTCTAGTTCTATTTAATTTTGATTAAATTTAGATATAAATAGCTGCATATGGCTAGAGGCTACCATATTGTGTAACATAGCATAGGATCTGGTGGACTGCGTATAGGGGGTGAAATGGTTGTGCAGGGCCATGGCAGAAAGAGTAAACTGAGTCCATGGGCACAGGGTATCAAGAGGAAGGAAAGACATGAAGAAAAGAGGAAAATTAAGGACGAGAGACCTTTGTAGTCTCAGATGTACCCACTCGTGCACATCTGTAGGTGGATAATATTTAGACATGTAGCTATTTTCAAATTGGTTTATTTCTTTTTGACCAATATTGTATCTTATTGTCACCATCCTATATAATAAAACCCTAATATGCGAATTGACCGAACGGTGGAATGACTGGTCGCTATGATGCTCACTGACCACCAGGGGGCAGATGCTCAATGCAGGAGCTTCCCCAAGGATGTCCGACTGACAGCTTAGCGGGCTCCTTGAGGGCTCTGGGACTGTGAGATGGCACAGGCCGGGCTGAGGGTGCCCCCTGCCCAAGTGCATGAATTTTGTGTACTGAGCCTCTAGTTTATATACTGTGAAAGACAATTGGAATGAGTACAGGCTTTGGAGAATTCAGACTTCAGTTGAAATCTCGTCTTTATACCTTACTAGCTATGTTACTGTAGTGTTGTTTTTTAAATAGTATCACCAATTTTCTATAGTAAGTGAGAATAAAAAAGAATTTGACATAGTGCAGTGAACATTGTTCCTATATTTTAAACTTTAAAATATTAGAGATCTTAAATACTTTCAAAGTTTTAGTACTTAGTAAATCTTTATTTGCTTTTGTTCCTTGATATTATTCCTGAGTTTCTCAGTTTTATACTTTAAAAGCCTAGAAAATATCTAATAAAATGTCTGGCAGATTTAAATATCTCTTTGGTTTTCTGGTTGGCTGAGTTTTTCTAGCTTCCATTCCTGAAAGAAGATTTTTGTTTTTCCTCTGTATGTTTTGGTTTTTATAAGCTCTGCTCTCCCCATTAGGAATCTCTCAAGCAAGAAGACTTTGCCTCTTTGAGGCACAAAAACAGCAGCAGAAATAGTAACAAGAACAAGTTACTAAGTATCAATAATGTATCTCCTGGTATGCCTGGAACACGTACACAGTTACAACAGGCCAAATCTGCAGGAGAGAGTGTGTGTTGCATGACAGTCCAGGAAAAGGAATGAAATGAAGAAGAACAAGAATGTTCACATATTGTAACAGAACAAAAGACTATAGGTGCAAGTGTGTGCAAGGGAGGGACAGGCCCAGGAAGGTCCCCTTCCCACTGACAGCGTGGAACATTCCCACTGGTCACGTGACGTGCTGCCTGAGAAAGTGCTGATACCTCTGCTGTGCGGCACAGGTGCTGGCGTTGCCGTTGTCCTGTTTAAAGCCTCGGTGTGTGTTTCATTTCCGGTAGGAGTTCCAGAGCCTCACTGTGAAAACTGGAAAGTCTTATGCATTGAATTCCTAGAGAGAGTGGTGTTTGCTTATTCAAAAAGGTTTTACGTGCAATTAGATCCTTGTAGTGAAAGAGTGAATTTTTGAGGTTATCTTTTTTCAGTCACTAGAATACTCATTAGGAAATGCTACTATTAGATTATGCTGGGTCTAATCTTTCATAAACACCCTTATTTTTCTATATTATTATTGCAAAGGCAGTGTTTTTACATGAGATCTCAGAAAGCAAGCACACTTCAGCCTTTGTTTAAATCTTTCCTGTTTCCAAAGTAAATAAATTGGAAAAATTAGATCAAGTTATCAATGATTTGTTCTTAAATGTTTTGTTTTTGTTTTTGCAATAGTGCTTGGGCCTATCTTTATCTGCCTACAGTTAAGTGAATTAAGTAGCATGCTGTACATTTGATAAAAGAGTTCTTAGCTAAGTTGGTTTTTTCCAGCCTTCATTCATGTGTTGATCTGTTCATTCATGAACTGCGAGGTGTGGGTCACTCTGGGGAAGTGGCCAGGGACCCATCTGCAAGGGTGGGTGCACTGCCCACACCAGACAAAGGAGCTGCTCCAAGCACCGAGGGCAGCGCTGCTCTGACGTGGCTCCCCGCCTTCCAGGGCATCGCGCTGCTTTCTGCGGCACCTCAGGCTGCTCACTCTTCACTGGGAAGCTTAACACTGTGACTTCTTGTCCCGGCTGGTGTAGGTCAGCGGTAGACCATCGGCCTACCCACCAAAGGTTCCCAGATTTGATTCCCGGTCAAGGGCACTTGCCTGGATTGCAGGTTCATTCCCTGGTCCGGGGCATGCGTGGGAGGCAACCAGTCAGTGAGCCTCTTCTGTGCTCTGCAATCAAGATACGTGCCCTGACTGGGAATCTAACCCACAACCTTTTTGGTGTACAGAATGGCGCTCCAATCAACTGAGCCACCCAGCCAGAGTGAGAAGCCCTCTCCACAATGCCTGCGCGCAGATCCTCAGTCCCTCTGACATGTTAGAGGTCATGAATGCTTATTGGAAGAATAAAAAGGAAGGAGGAAAGCTAGAAAGAACCTCTGGATTGTACTAGTGGTTATGAAATGTTCTCTGGAGCCCTGAAGGGTCTCAGGGTTGGTGGGTAGGAGAGAGGCTAGGTAGGGGGGATTCCTTCCCCTGCCTCCCTGCCTCCATCTCTGCTTCAACCAAAGTAGCTCTGTTTTTAAATTTTTCATATATTGGTGAACAGAGCAAGGTTTTGTTGAAAAGAAGGGGAAAGCTGATACTAAAAATAAATTTGAAAACCACAGCGATGATTTGCCTTTATGAAACCCCTATATGCATTTCTGCTCTTCCTGCTTTAGAATGAAGTGGGAACTTAAAGAACTTGAGAAATTAAGCCAAGTGAGCTAAGTTGGAAAATGAATCCATGAGGAAATATTGGAGATTTCCTAATCCGTTGGGTAGCACCGTGTAGTAGGGCCTTGGGGCTGCTTGCCTGTTGTAAGCACCTGGAAGGCTGTCATGGGAGAGATGCTGAGTAGCTGGCATCTGTCTCCACAGAGGACCCAGTGAGAAGCTGGAGATTAAACTGAAGAAGTTGAGAGATTTCCTCCGAATTTACTGAGGAGAGGGCTCATATTTCCAAAACGGAGTCTCCAGAACATTCCCTTCCTGGGGGTCCGAGACTGCCTGCCTCAGAGCCCGCGGAGGCTGGACCCTCTGGGAAGTCCCCCAGCGTTAGTGTCACGGGAGAAGGGTGTGCACTAGAACCCTCATAAAAGCAAGTGCTTCTAAATGCAGGCGCTGTTAGACTTGTTGCCTATTCGGGTTGTGGAATTCATCTCTAAGAACTTGCTCAATAATGTGAAATTAATGTAACTTCACGCAGTGTTCATGTATAGCACATCATAAAGACCACTATGTGCAGAGCAGTTCTCATAACATTGCTTATTGAAGAGTGAGAATTTATCCGCTCTTTTTTTCTCAGATTCTCTAAGAGAAAAACTGACCCGTTGCCCTCCTGTAGAGATGTGGATGTTTATAAAATCTCATGAATAAATTTTACTGTCTTGGCCACAGTTTTCCCCCCACACCTTTAGGAAATAGTATTTTGTGTAGCTCTCATTGGCAAACATATTCAGTCAGCAGTTATCAAACTGTGTTTGTGCAGACTCCATTGCCTTACACAAGTGGGTTGTGGGTCAGATATCACGTGTATGGCTGGTACTTAAAGCACATAACGTCATAAGCCTCTGAAAAGTCCTAGAGGATAGAAACCTGTGTGTGTTTAACAAATTATTTCCCAACAGTATTTAACCATTCCTTCTGCAGAATAGCTGTTGCCAAGTCAGGAAACATTGGATAGACATTGGCCTTCAAATAGTTTTAATGTGGACAGAGAGCATCATTTATTTATCATTTCCATTGGAGAAGCTAGCAAAACAGGAAATAATTATATATGTACCGAAAGCCCTTTGAAGTGAAACACACACACACACACACACACACAGTTATTTTGAATGTTTCACAAATTGTGAAGAAGCTCGGGTGAAACCAGAAGCATGAAAGAATAGGAAATGTGAAGCTCAGGTCAGCACTGTGGGGACTGCCTGAGGGGCTGCT